TGAATAAACTCAGTAATAACAGAAAGTCTTTTCAGATAAGTGGCTACTCTTTGAATAATGCTGCAATATTCATTAACTCTGCTGCCTCTTCCAGAATAATCCCTCAGTGCCTGAAAGACACATGAATACAAAGAAATAGGTAGCCAGGGCTTTAAGTTTCTTCAAGAAAAATTTCATTTTTTCCCCAGCTTTGGCCATCCTGACATCAATGTGTGGATTCAGATATTTGGAGCAAAGCTGTACTCTGATGATCCAATTACCTTTTTCTTTTAAAATTAAAAAAAAAAATTCTATAGAAAATGCTTACTTTATCTGAACACCCAAAGTCTGTTGTTATTCATTGAATGAATTTAAAATGTCTTTGAAATGCATTGTTTCTTTAAAGTTTTCAGTGAACAAAATCATCCTTTGATATTTGGGTGAAAAAATCAGTGAAAATTCCTTTGAAAGTTTGAATACTTCTCAGGAAAAGATAAAATAACTTTCTCTAAATTATTATAAACTGCTCTTATTACAGAAAAGTCAGTAATGTAATAGAAAATAATTTGGACTTTCTTACTGTTGTCATTTTTGTTTGTTTGTTTGTTTTTGGTTCTATTCCTAGCAAAACAATGTAAGGCTTCTCACTAGACCCTGGACATGTATGATTTGTTGTATAAGAAATTAAATTAGGGGAAAGCATGGAGGTACACGGTGAGCTTAGCGCCAGTCCCAGCTCTAGCTGTTCGTCGTCCACCCGGAACTGCTCAGGGGCCTCCGTGTCCAGCGAGCTGCTGACAGCGGGGAGCGGTGGCCGAGGAGGTATATGGGACCGGTTACTCATCAACTCCAAGCCTAACTCCAGAAAGACCTCCACTCTTCCGACAGTTCAGATAGAAAGGAGCCCGTTGTTAGACCAAGTTCAGAACTTTCTCCCCCAGATGGCCCAGGCAAATGAAAAACTACAGAAAGAAATGGCTGCTGCTCCACCTGGTCGGTTCAATATCGAGAGTCTCGATGGGACTCTCGGGAAAGTGATACAGATGGATGTGGCCTTATTTGAGATGGATCACTCAGATTCAAAAGAAATGG